GCAACTTAATTCTGGCATTTCCTAACTTTTGAATGCTTGACTTTGGAACCTTAATAATGTTATTTTAACATAGGTTCTTGTGTGTGTGTCAATTACTAGATTTTTAAGAAAAGCAAACACCATCAAAATGGCATCATATTGACACCCACGTGGGTCATCATCAGGGTTAGAACCTTTAGATCCACTGCACAGACTTCTGCCACTTGAGCTAATGGAGTAACTGATAAAAGTAGTAGGTATCGTCCTCTGTGGGGGCCAGAATTAGAAGGAGAGGAGATATACACTTTGTCAGTGGGTTTCTCAGACATTTGCTGACACCAGAGGTATGGTGAGACCCAGGAGTCTTAGGTTCCATTCTGGAAGGGAATGTAATAGAAAGCAGAAATTCTTCTGTCCATTCCCCCACAAGCTTGCACCCTTCTACCCAGTCCCCTCCAACCTGCCCGTTCCAGTCCTGTCTCTTCCCCACCACTGGCTCCTTCCCTACCCCATCCCAGTCTTCACTCCTCACGTTTCTCATCCCAGTCTCAGTCTCCCTGCCCAGCTAGCCCTAATTCCCCCCACCTCCTGTCTCCTTATCCTATTGTCTCTTATCTCCTCTCAACCCCCAAGGCTCCTAGTCTTCTGCCCTGGGTTCCTCATCTAATAACAGTCTCCCCCTCAGTGCCCTTTCCCCTCCCAGCTCCATGTCCCAGTCTCTCTGCCCAGCCAGTCCCAGTTCTCCCCCTGCAGCCCAACTCCTTATCAGATTTCCCCCTGCCCATGCCCCCCTTACTGGTCCCTAGTTCCAGTCTCCTTGTCCAACCAGTCTCAGTCTCTTCCCTCCCCCGCCCCACAGCTAAATGTCTGATCTGTGTTACCACCAGCCAAGTGGCTCTCAGTCCCACATTGTTTAAAGTGTGAGTGTGGTGGGTGGGGAGGAGTCACAAAGCATCCAAGACCTGGCCAAAAAACAAAACAAAAAAACCACAAAAACCATTAAGAGTCAAGCTGAAGGTGGCTGAGGAGCGCACATTAACAAATGTTTCAGCAAAGCTACTGCTCCCAGATTGTAACAGCTCCCTCACATTTTTCTCAGACTGCTGCAAGCACCAAAATCCCCTCCTCCCCATTTCCCTCACTGGATCCCAGTCCCAGTCTTCCCTCCCTAGCTCCCAATTCCAGCCTCCCTTTCACCCTGCCCAGTTTCTCTCACCCCTCTTCCAGTCCCAGACTCCTTATCCCAATCAACTCCTTTCCTTCCTCACTAGTACAGCTTTTGTCCCCTTTGCACTTGGCTCACACAGCTTCCTTCTCCACATACCTAAGTGTCAGAGACGGCACAGGAGAGAAAGGCTCTTTGCCCTTAGTTCCGGGGCCAGCCCCAGTGGAGCTGGGAGCAGCCATTACAGGGAAAGTCTGGCTTTCCCTGTAGGCCTTAAAGGCTGGAACACGTTCAGACATTCTCTGGGGATGATGCATGCGCAGTCACGCATAGAAGCTGCAAGAGGCTCAGTGAGGATGGAATCTTCTCTGATTTTAGCTGCTAACATCAAAGAAATCTATGTCTGGGAACTTGGTCACGGAGATGGCAAAAGGCACATCCCTGATAGAAAGGTCATCCCCCTGCCAAATTTCAAGCTGCTGTTCAAAGAAAAGATCTCCAGAGTTTGTTGTTTTTTTTTAACATAGGCTAAAGGGAAATATTTGGTTTGCCTCATTCTTGGAAATGGCTGTACTGCTGTGACTGAAATTTTCTAAAAACAAATGAGCCAAAGGCAGGTACCCAACATGTAAAATTTTAGCACAAACAGTTAAAGTTCGGAAAAGCTATATGCAACTGAAAACGGGAATGTCAAGCAACCTTAACAGAAGACAGCACTACCAGCTCTGCCTACAGTTAGAGGATTTTTCTAATCTCCAAACATTTGCACCCTACAAACCTGGGAAAGCAGGGAAGGACAGCACTCCCAGTGACTGTTATTGGGAAGTGCTTCATTCCCACTTTCTAACATTAGAGGTGATCACTTTTAAATTCTCACCACAACTGCTAGAAAGTTCTATTCAGATTAAAGATGAGCATATAACATTCTCAGTTCAGCAGACAGAGCTTCCCTGTAGCAAGAGACACAAAGGGACCAAACTGGGGCAATTAAAAGCAACACCCCCTACAATGACCTAGACCCCAGACCCTGTCCCCTAACATGCTCCTTGTCAAAGGGGAAGGAGCCAGCTATAACAGGAGACAGTGTGTGGTTGGCTGCTAAAAGACTTCCCACCTCCTAGTCTACATTTATACTGTGTTCCATCACTACAGAGTTTGAGCAACCAATGTCTGCACCCCCTGCTGGAGGCTGGTAGTAGATGCTAGTGGGAGCTGGCTCAAGAAGTACAGCCAAACTAGCTGTATATAGCTATATGCAGTATGCATAACATCTCCACCACTGAGAATAGGTTTCTGGGAGAGGAATGGGTACTAGAAAGGTGATACATGCTTTGCAATTGCAAACCCTGGAAGAGATGAGAAGCAGCAGCCAACCTCCAGATGCATAAAATTATTAATTATATTAGAGTTACCAGAAGGCCCTAATCAAAATCAGGGCCCCATTGTGCCAGGCTCTGTCCAAATACAGAGGAAGATACAGACCACGCCCAGAGTCTGCTTACTATCACAGAAGCATTTACTTTCACCACTGCCACGGTGTTGATTTTTTCTTTTGTTTTATAGTATGCAAAAATAAATTAATGCAAATACATAGGGGGCACTAACTGCTTGAAATAACAAACAGCAATGCAGTGAGTGCCAAGAATAATTAGTGTGCCAGTTCCAAACACCACAGCTTACTGTAGACCACTGCAGGATATAAACATCCTAGCCATTCTTAAGCCCTTCTGAGCTGCTCATTTCACCCTATCTATTCTAATTCTCTTGTTAGACTGTTAGCTCCTTCCACGTAGGAACTACCTCTACATTGTGTTTTGTATGGTCCTAGGTACACCATCAGCACTTTTTATATCTATAAAGAAAAGTAAATTTTGATGATCTGAGAGAATAGACTCCTGTGGCTCAGCCTGTCAAAAAGAAACCTTTCCCATAGGCGCATATTAAAAATTACACCCACAAGTCTAAGATCTAGGACCCTATCCTACTTGCCTTAGACATGTGAATAGTCCCCTGTCCTCAGTGTAAATACTCAAATGGGGGAGGGGGTCTGAAAACAAATCTAGAAGCTGCTAGGTAAGATACCATAGGAAAACAATCCCATGCAGGCAGTGATGGGTAGACAATTAACATAATACCATAATTCTTTTCCATCTTTAACTTCTATCAAAGTCCCAAACAGCTTCAGTACATTGCAATGTACAAAATGCAAATTTAGCTTGAGTGAACTGGAGCTAAGAGCTAAGTCATTCTATGAAAAAACTATCTTCATATATCTACTACAAGACTTCCACTGTAATTTTTTTCCCCAAATACCTCACATTTTAGTTGCTGAAATTTTGGTTTTGAATCCAGATATACAGGTCAACCATCTGGTGACCTGACTGGATGAGAACAATTTCATTGAGATAGGTCTATGGAATAGAATTACATTGCAGAATAATGGTTTCATATCACTCAATAAACACCATGGCAAAGACGAAGTAACTAATCAAAAGCATTTGACAGCAACTTGAGCATATATTTTTAGAGCGGCATACATTTCTCCTACAGCAATTACTTTATTGATATTCTACCAAACATATGGTTAATGGTAAAAAGAAAAGGAGGACTTGTGGCACCTTAGAGACTAACCAATTTATTTGAGCATGAGCTTTCGTGAGCTACAGCTCACTTCATCGGATGGTTAATGGTGTGTCACTTTGTCTGACAGACAAATGCGCAACAACACTACGATAGCAATACAAAAATGCAGCATTCTGATTGGCTTAGAGTGATTCAGATAATTAGAAACTATTTGGGCCATAAAAGTACAGCTCTAAAACAAACAAACAAAATATGAATAAGTCACTTTGCCATTGGGTGCATGTTTGAACTCCTGTATTTACTAAAGGGCAACCATCCAGAAATCCCATTAGCAAAGTATTGGTCCCAGGTGATAGAAAATGGACAAGATTTCTTGATCAGTTGATTTTAATGGACTTAAGCCTTTAAGACATATCAACAATGAACAACAGGACAACTTCTTCCCCTGCATAAACATGCCTCATTCCTCTTCTGTCATCAATTAAAACAAACAGCCCAGGGTTATAAAACTATACAGCCAATGTAGCCAAAACACCAAATCCTGCTACAGGTTTTTGGACTTGGATTTCTAGTCATTCAACTTTTTTTGTATCTTTGCAAAAATAATAATATTTTGAAACAACACAAAGGAACCACAGCTGAACAACAACCTGTAAAGAAAGCCGGGCTAACCTTAGTAAGGTTCCAGAGGCGTGTGGAGATTTGGGAGTGGAGGGGGGAAATTCTCCTGCTTGGAAACAGAATGGCCAAGATTCCTGGGGTTCACTCACCCCCTCCCCAAGCGCTGGCCGCTGCCTGTCCCACAAAACACCCCCCACCCCAGAGGGATCCCAGGGGCAGGCGGGGGAAACGCTCACACATGGCTCCAGCTAAGCGGGGGGGACGGACGCGGCTAGCGACGGAGCCCACGACCCGTGGGACGGGAAAGGTGCCACAGCGCCCTAGCATGGAGAGAAGTCCCCTCCCCCACCCCAGCCATGCCCCTTGCCCTCACCTCATTGCAAACGCCCCTTCTCCCCGGGCCAGGCGGGGATAACCTGGAAAATCCCCCTCAGGAAAACCCGCCCGGCCGGGCGAGCCCAGCCCGGTGAGGGCCTCTGCCCGCCTCCGCCCGCTCGCAGCCCCCGACGCGCCGCGGGAGCGTTGCCTTGGCACTGCCCCGGCCCGGGCGGCCGCGCAGGCTCCGGCTCCGGCCGGGGCAGCGGGAGCGGGGGGCTGCCCCGGCCGGACAAAGGCAGCTCCCAAGTCCCCCCCATTCCTGCCGCTTCCTTACCCGGCTGCCGCGGCGGCTGCTCCCCGGGCTGCTGGCGAGGGCGCTGGGGCAGAGGCGGGCTCCGCGCCGCCCGCGGCTGGAGAGGGGCTGAGGGGGCGGGCGCTGCCCCGGGAGCCGTTGAGGCGGGTGGCGGGGGGGGGAGACAGGCGCGCGCGCGCTCGCTCGCGAGCTCCCCGGGAGTTCGGCTCCGAGCTCGCCGCACGCCGCCGCCCGCGCAGCTCGCAGGCTGGGAGCGGGGAGAATGGGGCGGGGGGGGCGCCTCGGAAATGGCAGGGGCTCCGCTCACGCTCCAGCCCGGGAGGGAAAGGCGAGCCCGGCGGCTTCCTAGCGGCCGGCTGCCTGAAGTGCAAACGAGCTCCTCCTGCCCGGCCCGCCGGTGGGACGGAGCTAGCAGGAGGCGCGGAGAGAGACAGGCGCAGCATCCATGGGCAAGAGCCCTGCGATTTCCTCAGCCAGGCTCCTCTTTGTGGTACCAATGCACCGCCCAGGGCCCAGTCTCTAGCCATGAGCGAACCCCGGGGGGGCAGGGAATCGACATTCCCCCCGGCACAGAAGGGGGAAATGAAGGAGCCCAGAGGTTAAGCAACTTGCCCAAGGTCACGGAGTGGAGTCAGTCTCTTGATTAAAATTCAGGTGTGCCTGGCTCCCAGGACCCATTGGTAAGCAGCAGCTGTTGTCTCACCTCTGTACCTGAGAGCAAGTATTTGTGTGGCATGAGACAGCATTGTACTGTAGTTACTTAGGGAAAACACAATGAGCCAAATGCATCCCCAGAAGCAGGCCCCTGAAATTGACGAGGGTTCTCAGCCAGTCTTCAGAGATTCTGGACTGCACAGCCTTCTGCACTGCAAAGTGTGAGGGGTTCACCAAAGTGGTGAGGTGCCCTACAGAAAAGGGAATGGGGGAGGATCCCAATGTGGGAACAGTTGAGAACCACCGCCATAGAATTCCGCCAGAAGAGGACTGGGCATCATGTTGCCTCTCTTGATAGTGACCTTTACCTGCAGTGGCAGGAAACAGAAGCTAAAGGGACTAGAAAGGGCCAGAGAATTTAGAATAATGTGCACAATGTGCCTACTGACTAGGGCGAGAAGAGCATTTAACTTTGGCCTATCCTGAATGTGGAACATACCTTTTAAGAAGCAAAGGTGTAAATATTTATATTATGGTGGCGCCCCGTGGCCCAACGTTTAGAATGCCCGGTTGCTGCTCGGAGTTATGCTCCACCGTGTGCTGTGGTGCTAATGCTGAAGAGACTATGGAATCCACTACAGAAGCTTCAATAGAAGGGTCAGGTAAATTCTAGGTTGTCGGTTACCATAGCAATAGGTAGGGACTAAGGCCCTGAATAGAATTTGTCTCAACAACATTCTGGGAATGAGCTTATGTTGGCATAGCACTTTTTGTCCTGAAGGCTCCCAACACACTTTGGGATTGTCCGTAAATTAAATAAGGTATTGGGGGGCGGGGGGGAGGGTCCTTAATTTTGCATGTTTGTTTCAGTATTAATGAGGGGTGGGTAGGTCTTGAAAATCGCCAAAGAAGTGTTACCTAATTTATGGACATCCCCTTTACAAGCAACTAGCTTTACTGAGCACCATCATGGTGTGGATATAGAATAAAGAAGAGGACAGTTCCTCCCCCTCCCCCTAAGGGCTTAAGGTGAGATGCAGTCTATAATAGGGGATCACTTCAACCACAGATAAAAAGGTGCCATCTCTGGTGTGTAACTTGGCAGTGTCTTTGACAGCTCCCATCAACATCACATAACAGTTTAGGACAGGAAGTGATCTTTTCTAACAAATTACAGAAGAAGCTCAAAGTAGAATATACACAACTTGTCCTCTTTACCAAAGGACAGAATGACATCCTTAATGACAAGTGGTTAAGACCTTAGTTTCACATCTAGATATAAAGCTCCTCAATGACCTGTGCTGGAACATTTGCTTAGCTCTGATTCAAGGGGCAGAGTGCCCCAGCTACGGAATCATCAACACTACTTCCTGCAGCATCCAGTAGTTCCTTAAAGGTCTCCCATCCAACTATGACACTTCTTTGCCCTTTGCTTAGCCCATGCTTATAGCATAAGGGACAATGGTTGCAGGATATAATTGCAGAATTTTACTATGTTTTTAGTATGATTAACTTTATAAGATAATATCCTGGTCTATATTAAAATATTGGAAGGGTACATTTCAAAAGTGTGTGTCTTATCATTATAGCATCCTTGATCCTGTTGCATAGCATGGGACAGCCAAAGATTGTACATGACCCTGTGTATCAATCAAGGCTGGACATGTTGACTGGTAACTTTACAAATAAGTTGCAAAGATGGAGGCAGGAATGGTTTTGTGATAGATATTCTTGTTAAGACCCATTGTGCATTATACGTATGTGGAAAGAATAAGTGACAGAAACAATGACATACCTCTTATTTCTATTTAATAGAGTGGCAAACTCCCATTGTCATGAATGGGAGCTGGATCTGGCCCTGAATAATTTGGATCTGGCTCTGCATCTGGGCAGGTGGCACTGAGCTACCAAATTAGCTATCTACCAAGATTCTTATATGGTTCCCATCACCAAAATGTCTGAGCACCTGTTTACAACAGAAAGCCTACTATTCTGTGTTTGTACAGTGCCCAACACAGGGCCTGGTTCTTGGTTGACCCTTAGGCACTACTGTAATTAACCTGAAGATTAATAATAATAATAGTTCCATACCAGTGCTGAAGGGGACCTCAAGGGGGGCTCCCAAGAGCATCTTGTCAGAATTCCACCATCAAATGAAAGGCCGTTTTGGGGTGATTTCTCTGGATTAACCCCCCTTCTGGAAGTGGGTTTGATAGGGTCTTAAGCAGTGCATTGGTCTGGTGGGTGAAATTCATCCTTGTGCAGACAGACCAACACAGAATCTATGCACTGATTAGTCCTACCTTGGGAATGTAAGGACACAAATATCTTATATCATGGCCCTTTGCACGGAGGTCACTTTCACCCCAGTGCAATTTTTCACCTTTGTTTAGCAGCTAAGCAAACTGTAGCCTGGATAAAAATACATAATGCTCTGACTGTGAGTACTTGGGAATAGGCATCAATAACAGGATCGTTAGTGAGAGTGTTTTCTATAACTTTTACAATTTTCAAGAACATGTTGCCATAAATATTTAACTTCATAAAGTTAAATGCAGGCCAGCTTGAGCACTATCTTTGACATTTTAATGCATTTGCAGTAAGCCATTGGCTGACCTCTTGTTTGCTGCCCTGGAACTGCCTGATGGAACTTTATGCTGGTAATATTATACTGTTGCTGTGTGCATCAGTGTCCCTGTTGCACTAGGATTAGCTGTTAATGACACTGAGCACTTACAATTATGGGAGTGAGAAATATAAAACTCTAAGGAATTCTGTGAGTGCATTTTAATCTAAACAGATCAAACTAATAGGACAATGGCTTGAAAAGGGAGCTCTCACATGGAATGTGTATGATTTTATTTAACAGCTGTCAAGGATTCAGGCATGACTCTAAAATGGCTGTAACTGGGGTATTATTTTCTCTCTGAAAAAAATCACATATTTCTTACAAAACAAGATGTCCTCTGAAGATTACACTGACCACATATTTCCCCCAAAATATTTTAATAAACTGGTTAAACACTTTTTACAATCTGAAATGGCTAATATTAGGGTTAAAAAAAGAGTCCTACATTGACAAAGAGATTAGTGATTTTAAGTGTCCAACTTAAGACCTTACAGGGGCCTGATTTTCAGAAAGTGCTAAGCAAACCACCTTCACTCTCCCCTCTCTACAAATGCAGGTCCCTTAACAAACTCATCCCTTTACTAACTATTCAATTTTTACTTCTACAGACAGGGAAGTGAGGGAAATGTTTATTTTCATAATTGTTACGTGCACGAGATACCATGGTGATGTAGGCCATCTAAGCACCTAGATAGACCTCAAAGACCTCCACAAATACTAATTAATTCTTACAGTATTTCCAGGCACTGGGTAGTAGGTCCATTTTTGAGTGTCAGAGTTTTCAGAAGGGTTCAGTACCCAAAACTGAGGTCAGATTTTTCAAGAGAGCTCAGCTGCCTTTAGACATCAAAATAAGTGGCCATATTTTCAACAGTTCTGCCTATTGGGTGCTGAGAATTTTTTAAAATCTGGCCATTTTTTAGGAACTGATATGGGAGCACTTCTTTTTAAAATCTAGTTCCAATTGCGGGTGCTGAGCACTTGAAAATGAGGCTTTGAGCTCTTCTGAATATCTGTCTCTCAGTGACTTGTCCCTAAAATCACAGAGCAAATCAGTAGCGAATTTGGAAACAGAACTCAGGAGTCCTGACTCCCAATCACCTGTTCTGTTATTATCATTAGCACCACTAATGTGCGCTGATGTGCATTTCATAAAGTCCTTTTCCCAGAGAACTGAGAGTTTAGTAGGTTCCAATCACTAGGACCCAGATCTGAAAGGTATTTAAATATCTAACTCCCATTGAAATCAATGGGCAACTCCCTCACTCTGCCTTGATTCTAATGGCTAAAGTTTTTATTTTTTTAGACTAAAACCCTGTTAACAAAAGTACAAATATGAATGTCTCTTCTTTGCCACACTTATCAAAATATTTATTGTAAAAGAAAATTCACTCTATTTAAAGAGCTCCTTTTTATATGTTCAGTATTGGCCAAACATTATTTGATTTGTACTGCAGAGGGAGAAAAATATCCTTTAATCCAGGAAGAGGAAACATTCTGAAAGCTAATTTTTTGTCAGACTGATCAAGTATAAAATATCTCTCATGTCTGTACCCTTATTTCCTCTGGTAGCACCAACATATTTTATGACTTCAGACCACGACACCCCAAGCAAATTAGCATTAAAATATTGATTCTCTTCATTGTTTCCTGGGCTGTTATTGCTTCAATTCATTAGTCATCATTTCAATAGTGCCTAGATGCCCCAATTAGGATCAGACCCTCATTGTGCTAAACATAAAAGAAGACCCAGTCTCTGTTCTTATTTTCACACCAGAATGGTTACAATCCAAGGCCCCAGTGTTGCAAACACTTAAGCACCAAAGTATCTTTA